GTGCGGGGCTTTTGTCAGCAGGTGGCGGCATGCAGCGGCCATGGGCTTCTGTCCCACCCGGCCTTTCAGTCTCCGTCTGCTTCGTTCTTGGCCAAACTTCCCTGCCAAATGTATTGGGATTGCACTGAGAAACCACAGCACCACCAGCAGCCTTTTGGGGGCTGGTTTGGGGCCCTCGAAGCTCGGGTTTTCAGCTAGATTTCAGCTGGGCTTTTGCTTTTCCTATAAATCTCTGCCGACCCCCTGAAAAACGAAAAAGCCAACTAAAAACTTGACATTTCCTGAGGACTTTTTCCTGAGACAAAAAAAAAAAACAGACTTTCCTCACTGTCAGCCCCTTCGACATGCAGTATGTCGTATGGCCCCGGTCCGCTCTGGTCCCGGGCGGGTTGGGATCACTGATGATCTCCAGGCAAAGGCAGGTGCATTGAAAGGATGCAAAACCCTGGGTGATCTGGTTCCAGCTGGGTCAGTCTCTGCCCATCTCTGGCCCAAGCTTGCCCCTACGATGGCATTTCACTGTCGGTGCTCAGGGGCAAAGATGGGATATTTTCCCCCCCGCCCCCTGAAAGCAGAAGGCAGGACCTTTGTGCCGGGAAGAAGCTGACGTGTTCCCCATCCCCGCCTGACCCCGGCCCCTGACGTCATTACACCATCTGGATGGAGCTGTTTCTCTGGCTGCCGTCATGGGTTGGCAATGCTGAGCGCGCTGTGGACTGACCCTGCCGCTGGCCTGCACTGGAGTGATCCAGGCTGGGTGGGAGGGTTGTTGCAGCCGAAGACACGAGGCACATAACGGAGGTGGCGCAGGCAGGTCCAGGGGCTCGGAGCATATCCTGGTGTCCTGCAGGCCCATTCAAGCACATTAAGCAATGCAAACATGCCTGGGAAGGATAGTCCCCATGTTCCTGTGCCCCAGCAGGGCTCAGCTGCTGTGTTGATAACGGCCTGGCGAACGAAGCCGCCTGGGAGGGTCCCCGTCCAAGGAGCTCAAGCCCCCTGGCACAGCAGGGAGTCCAGAGGCATGCGAGCAGCAGCAAAGCAAGCGCGGGGCAGCTCAGTGCCGAAAGGGTTAATGGGAGCATCTGCGCAGCCAGCCCCAGCCGCCTGCT